AGCCCCCCCGCGCGGACCGTTAGCTTGGAGCAGGCGCAGTGCGCAGAGCGCGCGCGGCCCCGGCAGGCGGTGAGGGGAGGCGGAGCTGTGAGGCGCTGCCGAGTCCTCGGGGGGGTTCCAGCACAGGCACGAGTTGTTCTGACTGAAAAAAAAGTGCTCAAGACAGTCTTTAACGGGGCCTAAAGCACACCCTCCTGAGGGGAGTCCGGTCTCCCTCCCGGGAAGGCCCCGGCGGAGGCAGGCCCCGAGCCCGGCCTGAACGCTACGGAGGCAGTTGCTACTCAACCTCGGTAGATACACCACCGCCCGCGCCCCCCAGGGGCAGGGCTCCTCAGAGGGGCTCACGGCCTCTCTCCCTCGCCTCTGAAGGCAAGGGCCCCAGAGCTGCAAGCAGGACAGTACAACTTAAGTTTATGGTAAGATACCAAGGACTAGTTTTACTAATATTAATAGCAATGTGGTTTAACGTTAAGCACAGAACAGAGTGCAAGAGGTACGCTGGTTGGCAAAGTTCAAGATATTCCTTCCAGCTTTTAAAACGTGCAGAAAAATGTGTGTTTTAACTTGGCAGTCTTGGGATGAGGGTTACCAAGTAACAAAGCCCAGCCTTTGTGTAAGCTTTTCAATTAGGTTCTCAAACTCCATAAAGGCGGTCAGCATCGACTTCCTTGTATATTGTAGCAAATGATCTATCTTTCATATAATAGCTCTTCTGGCATCTGTCCAGTCGAGAGTAAATTAAACGGGCCATTAAGCACTCAAATACTATGATAACTAATACATTCAAGGACAGGCTAGTTCATGATCTGTTCACTTTTTAATCAACGACTTTATTTAAAAGTACCACTTGCACTGATGTCTCCTTGAAGATGTTCAGCCAGTCTGAGTGAAGAGTAAGGGTCCTTATAGCTCAGAGACTCACAGATGCCTCAGATTTAACTAGAGCTAATGGCATAGAACATAACTGGGTCACTGTGGCCAGTATTGCTTTAGTATCACATAACTGGGGATGCATTGTAAAATTCAATTGCGTTTCCTAAGAAAGAAGTAGCAGACATACTCAATAAATCCAAGTCCACAACAAATACACTTCCTTTCCTTTTCAAATACACTTAGCACATTTTCCAGTCAGAAATCTCCAATTGCTCAGTAATTTAAGGAAATCTGACACCAAAGGGATTGTGTTAGGAACAGATAAAGGTTAGAGAAAGATGCACGTGCTTGCACATCAGTTTTCTTAGTTTTGCAATACCTCTATCTGTACAAATCAAGTCTTACTTCTTTCCTAAAAAGAAAGAAAAAAAAGCAGTAGGTTGTACACGTCATGACACGCAACTGCTAATACCTTCCAGCTAGATAGCAGGCTTCTCTTCCCTTCTCTGTCCCTCCTTCCCCTGTACATGTCATACACAATGCATCTTCTTATGCTGCTGCAGGTCATTTACTGCATTTCTTCTAGGTCTTAGCCCCTGTCTATCCCAACCAAACCCACTCAGGCTTAAGTGAAGATAACTGCAACACAAAGAAGCTTATAGGAAGGCGGGGGGAAACCCTCAGTTGTCCTCCATGCCTGAGAACCAACTGAAGCCAGAAATGGAAGCGTGAAATACCTGCACTTCCTTATTTCTTTCCCCGATCCCATTCTAATCCCTCTTTCACACGCTCTTGCAGAGAGCACAGTCTGCCCATTTGACTGTCAACCAGAAAAAAAGTGGACACACAGTGTCACCTAGTGGCACCAGAAAAATCACTGTCTGGTCTCCAGCTTCCAGTCTTTTTAAAATGCCACCTCATTGTAAAACGAGTATGAATCCAATCTTCAGACTTAATTTTTAATGTAAAGGACCGAACTTTATTGAAGGTTTCATAGTTAGCAGGACTGTTAAGAAAGCAGAATATTTTACACCTCAAGTATAGTTACGAGCTAATTCTCATGAGAATACAGTACAAATAAAAGCTAATATAAAAGGACATCCTCCTTCCACTGTTCAAGATTTCATTATTTGTAAAACAAATGAAGTCAAGTTTTAAAATGTACTAAGCTTCAATGCTAGCAATCAAAGTTTCACTGTTCAGATAGTTTTATTCCAGAGATTTTGCAATGCAGCATCATTTCACAGCCATAATGAAAAGATTTACGGCAGCTTGATAGAAGTAGAATTTCAAAGTTGTCAAAAGGCCTTAAAAATATTATCTGCAGCTTAAAATGAATGATGATGAACTCCAAGTTAAAAAAAAAACCAAAAAAAAACCCAAAAAACCCAAACCACTTCAAATGCATATGAAATGCAAAAGTAATGCCCTGCAGGCTACTGCATAGTGTTGATTTGTCCTCAAAGAGATCTGTCAGTCAGCACAGCTTCTGGATAAGCACTAAAATACATATGTTCCAGCAACGGGCACACCATTCCAGTTGCACGGAGAAAAAGAGAGTAGGGAGTCTTCACAATTGATCATAGGCAGTTTTGAGAAACACATTGCACCCCGTTTAAGATGCTTTAGTTGTTGGATACTAAGCACATAAATGTTTTTATTATTAAAAAAAAAAAATCCCAGTTGTGCCCTTTACATGTATTAAAGTGCATTAAGTTATGGTTTTTAAAGCAGGCCAGAAAGTCCCTTTGAAATTGGTCCCTAAGCACTGCAGTAGCATTTGTAGTGGTAAAAGTAGTGTATTACAGAAAGCCTGTTTCACACCACCATTGCGAGGAGAGCAAAATTCCGTAAATTGTTACTGAAATACATACTGAAGCTCAAAAAGGGTAAGACAGTAGGAGTACAGAACAGCTCTGTTCTCGTGCTGTGGACAGAGATTACCTGTTGAAGCTACCCCACAGCCAGATACTTGTTTCCGTGCACCTAAATAAAGTCTTTGCAGGCTTCCAGAGTATTTTTCTAGCGGAGATAATTTGAACATAGGATTCCCTTAAAGTCGATGTGCAGTATAGCATCGCTTTCATGGAGGACAGCTGTTTGTTAAAGCTAAAAACACCGATTTAGAAAGGCCCAGCACCTTGCAGCAAGTTTTCTAGTAAAAGGCCAATTTATTCTTCATCATCTTCTTCATAGTAACGATTCCTTTTGATCTGTTCTTCCACGGATAAATCTTCCATATCTTCACCCTCCCAGAAACCAACATCTTGGGATTTGCGATTCTGGGTAGGAGATGATTCCTTAGCAGTCACGACATTGGCTAAGCTGGAATGTTTTGGAGAATTTGGATCAAGGAATTCTTCATTTGGAATTTCCTTCTCTTCCATAGCGTGTTCTTCCTCATCTGTCTCTGCATTCACCTGGCCATTTTCTACAAAGTTAGGCTCTACTGTTTTGATACCAGACAATTCCCGTTCTTCCTCTACTTTTTTCTCTTCAGCATTCCGGATGTTCCTATTCTCAATCTTCTTTTCCTTTTGCTTTTTGTCTACCACGACCTCTCTCTCTAGTTCCTCACTTCTGTTCAACATGTCTCTCTCTGCCTTAGAAGAAGATGAATTCTCTGGTTTATGGCCTTTAACAGATACTGTTCTAAACGAGGCTGCGACTGTAAAGGGACGACTTCTTTCTTTCAGTGAGGAAGATCTTCTTAACTTTTTGAGATCCAGATCCACATCCTCCAGCACATCTGACTTGGAAATCTCTTCTTCCGGGGGCCATTTGGGTTTGAACACTTTGATACCCTCATCTAAGGCACTTCCTTGAGTACTTTGGTCAGATGGAGGCGGCCAGGCAATTCTGAGCTTTTTTGTTTCTGCTGGTCTCTCTTCTCTT